GGGATTCAACCTTTTAGAATAATAAATTATTATTTGTTGTATTAATTAATTGAACAGCTCAAGAACCAAACAAAAATATATTCTTTTTCAGATCCATTACTCTCCATCTTTCCCCCTCTGTGTATTGCTTTTCCGTTGTTTGTCTTCTAGCTCCCTTTGACACCATATAAAATGTCCCTTTTCCCATTGCATCTAGTCTCTCATTCAATTCATTTGGCCCAGAGAGAGATATATATAGAGAGAGAGAAATGTATGCAGAGACTGAGCTAATCTTTCCTTCCTTCCCGAGCTTTCCTCAAGAAGTTCAACAGCTTGAAGAGTTCTATTGCTCTCAGAAACCCAATGCTCCAATGGTGAACACTTTATCCTTCCGCTGAGATTTCCCTTTTCAAATTTTTACATGCTCTTTCATGCTTTGTTGTTCACTCAGCATTTCTGTGACTAATTTGAGCAAAAGATCTGAACTTGCATAATGAAGTTCTGATTGGGTTTTTGCTTCTGATGTTTGGGGTTTATTGTATTCGAATCTTGATCTTTAAACTCTAAAATTTTCACATTAGAAAGTAAAATCTTCAATTTTGGGTTTAAGGGTTTACTTGACTAGCTTGTATATGCTGTGAGCTTATTTGCTTTCCCCCAATTTCACCATGCATAAGCAGAGAGATATGGAGTGAAAGAACCCAAAATGGTATATTCCTTCTTTCTCTGCTAGTCTGCTTGACTTGGGGCAAGGAAGAGAAGCAAAAGTTGAATTCTTTAGTTCAATTTATTTACTATAAATGATTGTGTACAATATTCTGTTTAGTAGATTATTTATAGAAAGCATCTCAATTCTCTTTTGTGGGCAAGATCATGGAATGAAAGATATTACTATCACAGTATCATGACCATCAGTTCCGTGTGGACTCTTCTGTTTTCCATTTCTTCCCACCAAAAAGACAGGTGGCTATGGCTTCCTGTTTGCTTTTGTGTTTCTTTTTGATACATTAGGTTTTTCAAGTTACGTCAGACTAATTCTAACCCCAGAATCGTTGTAGGAGGTAAATCGTGAGTCGCCCTGTCAGTCTCCAGGTTCCCACATCCCCTGCCTTTTTGTCGCTTTTGTGTTTCTTTGATTGTTGGGTGTTGGATGAACCCGTTTCTTTCTCAAGGATTCACTTTCCACCGCGCTTAAAGAACCAAAAAGATTAAAAGGTTGGAAAGAAGTGAAAGAAAGGCTGACCTTTTTGGTGTTATAGAAGGGGAGTTGTATAGTGGGGCTACAGAATTAGAAAAAAGGTTGTTTCTTTTTCAAAAGTTACAAACTCTGCAAGAGAGGCTGAGTCGGACAAATTTCTTTTAGTGCGATTTTTGTGTGCTTGGTGAAAACTTTTGCTTACTGTTTGTGGTTAAAGACTTAAAGAGATGCCGAATTGTCTTTCCCACCTTACTGTATAAGTTTGTGAGGATTGGACGAGTTAAATCTGCATTTACCTTGCTCTGATCTTATCTTTCTTGAAATGGCCTGCAATTACAGCGGGATATATTGTCATGGTGTTCAGTCTTATTCGTCTCGAGACTTCCTAGTTGTGAGTGCAGTCTTTTTTCCTTCATATCTGGGGATGGGTATAAGCAGTATTTCCTGGGTATTGTCCGTGTTAAATTACTCTTTAGTTGACAGATTTTGATGTCTAATAATTCGTTTGTAGTTCAACTTTAATCCTGTAGTATACTTGCAAGTTGCAAAGTTCATAATTAGAACAGTAGAGGTGTTTTAAAACAATTTTGTCACTTTCCTTATGTGGCATGGCTTCTCGACTTTTTTAATCATATATCCTTATTGGGGCATGCACTATACAGGCATCTGCTATATCAGAATATGACCTCGGTGGAGAGGGGGACCTCTTCAATGTTCCAGAACCGCTTATTGAAGAACCACTGTTGGATATTGATCCAATGACAGCTGCCATTTCAATGATTTCTTGTGGAGATGATGTCATGTCCCATCAAGGACTCAGAATTTCAGACATCGAATCATCATTCGAGAATGAACAGCTCTTCAATGACGTTTTCTATGATTGCAAGAAGGATCTTTTGGGGAGCCCCGAAGTTCTAGATGTCAAGATTCCTATTGCTAATACTGACGAAAGATTGGCAGCAGAGGAACTTTTGGCTCCCGAGGGAGTGTTTCAGAAAAGTGGCAGCTCGGAGTCTCTGAGCTCCATGGAGTGGGTTCAAGGGGCGCCTCCAACGATGCCGAATTTTCTCGCTTTTCCCGGAATGGACTTTGGCGCTGTTTATGGTATGAGGAGGTCATACAGTGAAGGCGACATAAAGGTTCAGTTTAATTACTCATTGTAACTTTCATCAATTCTCAATCCCGGTTTTAAGTTATTTCGAAGGGCTTTCTTGACTATGCTTAGGAGTAGATCTTGAAACTTAGTTTAAAAGGATTTCCTACGAGGAACATAGCGTATATTGGTTGTTAGTTCCATAACACGACGTCTAGAAACTGAGAAATCTATAGACGTTTCTGGCCTTTTCGACAGGATGGGTCTTCCTCATTGATACTGAGTTTTTGTGACAGACTCTTGGCAACGGTAACGTGAGCCTCATCCACTCTCCAAAGGGACACCAGCCCATTATCAGCAGCGCCATTTCTGAAGACCGACAAGAGAAGCTTTCCCGATACAGGAGCAAGAGGAACAAAAGGAACTTTGGCAGGAAAATCAAGGTACCTCTTAGGATGTTCCATCCACTTATAACACGAGTTTTATCAGCCTCGGGGAAATAGCACACACATAGTAGTGAACGAAGCAAGATAAACAACGTGCTTCTAATTCTCGTTTTTTATGGACAGTATGCTTGCAGGAAAGCCTTGGCTGACAGTCAGCCAAGGATCCGGGGAAGATTTGCGAGAACAGAAGAAGCAGCAGATGCATCATCCAAGAAGCATTGACTGTTTTGAGTCTCTCTACTAGCAAGAAGAATGTAAAAAAGGGTATTATTAGTTACTGCTGCAGAAGCAAGGGAACGAGGAAATCTTGCGATACAGACAAGTACAACGCAAAAAGAAGAAGAAGCTAAGCTTTACGCGGTATCTGCTCTATAAACCGTGACCTTAAAACTGCAAGTTTGTTGTTCTTTCATTAGCTGCAATGATCTTAGTAGAAGCGTAATCCAAACTAGGGCTGTACATATAGTGTATTAGTGTTTGTTGATGAATATGATAAAGCAGTAAGTATGTTGTTTCTTTGCTTTTATTCTTGTTGTTATTCGTCCCACATCGCTTAGATAAACCAAGGTTGTAGGACTAATAAGGCAGGGTAACGGAGGACTGAACAACTTGACCGCGGGGCGACGTGAGCGGGTTGGGTCATTCCGTTACGGTTTGGCCAGGCCCAGGAAAGTCCCCGGGCCGCTACTGCAGAGATGCAGGCTCGGAAACGAGTTCGCTTCACGGGCTGGGTTCTATCTCCTTGCGGGATGGGCTGAGACGAGTGTGGAGCCTAATGGACTCTAGCCGGAAGCGCCTTGGCCAGTAGACAGTTATTCACGTGGTCCATCTGGACTAACTGAACGGGGCTTACGACCCTGCGGTCCCCCTTTCTTTTAATTATAGTTTCGCTACTCAATTAAAACAACTGAATTACAGCGTGATATTTAGAATGCATCAGGTCAATTATCTTTTGCTCCAACTGAAGATCAAACCTTCAAACCTGTGACCTCTCATTTGAGAGCGTTATTTCATACCACTTGACCGCAAAGTTTTTGACTAATCAATTATCTAATCGAATATATTATTGTAGAAAAAGTAATTAATTGGGTAGAGTATGATTCTTCCCTAGTCCATGCTCATTATTTGGTGGCAAAAAAAAAAAGTTGGCAACCTTCTTCTGCGCATTTGCAAATAATCCAAATTATTTATCTACAATCAATGTTGCAAAAAGCGACGACCCTGCGGTCCCCCTTTTTTTTTAATTATAGTTTCGCTACTCAATTAAAACAACTGAATTACAGCGTGATATTTAGAATGGATCAGGTAAATTATCTTTTGCTCCAACTGAAGATCAAACCTTCAAACTTGTGACCTCTCATTTGAGAGCGTTATTTCATACCACTTGACCGCAAAGTTTTTGACTAATCAATTATCTAATCGAATATATTATTGTAGAAAAAGTAATTAATTGGGTGGAGTATGATTCTTCCCTAGTCCATGCTCATTATTTGGTGGCAAAAAAAAAAGTTGACAACCTTCTTCTGCGCATTTGCAAATAATCCAAATTATTTATCTACAATCAATGTTGCAAAAAGCGCTAGACAAGCGCCTGAGGGCGTCTAGTGTCTAGGCAGTCGAGTAATCTTTATATATCGTCTCCATTTTTTCCACTCAAGATTGTGAGTTGTTAAATTGTTATAATCCCTTAAACTAGTCAACTGCATGTGTTAGATGGTTAGTTGACTACATGGTTGGAGGAATATAGAAGATGAGCAACCAAACAGATAAAATAAACCACTCGACCGAGTTAAACTCCCAACTCAAACCACTCGACTGAGTTGAGAGTCGACTCAGCATAATTAGACATCGACCCGACCAAGTTAAGCTCTCAACTTGACGCTTAGTCGACCGGCCAACTAAAAATCGCCTATGGCTGAAATCACTTCAGCCTAGAGACGCCTCGTTAGAGCCTAGGCGGCAACAACACGGTATACAATTAATTTATTTTATACATTTAATAATTATATTAAGTATATTTTTATAATAAATAAATAAAAGTACATGATACGGAGTATATTAACTATGAATAAATAGTATATTCTCGTACCAAGTGGCTTGTAGTCCACTGGTATCCGATTGGCCCCTTAAGTGGGATGTCTTAGGTTTGAGCCTTGGTGAAGGCTATGTGGGTGTCCCCTTCCTTTGTAAAAAAAGAAAAAAATAGTATATTCTCGTAATAATATTTTAATTACATATCCATAGGGCACGGGGTCGATTGGTACGCACCAAAGCACTGAAATCTGAAAATGGTAGAATTACTGGAGCTTTTTTACCAGCGCAGAAAACGACAGAATGGTTGGAGGGCGTGGGAAGCGCGGGGACGGAGGATGAGATATTTGGAAGGGCGGAAGTTGACCTGCGCTGAGCTCGTGTCGAGAACCTTTACTGCTTATACGTGCACGCAATTCTCACACTTAGCTTCTCTACACTACTACTGACAAAACGGCGTCTCGTAAGTCCTATTTATGCTTCATCCATTTCTCTTCATCTTCTCCGTCTCTTTCCACCATACTGTAAGTGATTCGATTCTATTACTAATTGCTCCATCATAATAATCTCAGGCTCATATTTACCTGATTATAATTGTCATCTTGTTAAAAATTTTTATATAGGCGTAGAATTGGATATGTATGGCGTTAATTGGTGTACTTTCGAGTCCGAGAATGGAGTCTGTTGAGCTCCGATGCTTTAGTCTAACGAATTCGCCGTTTAGACGGAATCCTTTGCCTTTGGATCGGAGAAAAAAAATTCCGATTCGTTTGAAGAAGCTCGGGATTAATACTACTTGTTCGCTGTCCAGCGAGGCTTTGCCTATGGTGGATTCTGGCGGGAAGGACAATCTTACTGGCTCTGCTTCCTTGGAGGATGATTTAAGCCATGTAACTAAGTTTAGAATGTCGGATTTTAAGATTCGTAACCGTGTTAGCATTGGCTTTGGTGGCAGGGTATGATCAACTAACCTTTTTAAATTTTTATTCCATTACTTCACTGTTTTAAGTGATCATCTTGCTGCAATGAAGCATGAGACTTTTGAAAGCAGTATTTGCATTTATTTTTATCTTTATTTCAGGCCGGTGAACTAGTTTTTGAAGCAGTGGTGAAGGATCCAAATAGGTGCATTATTTTTCTTTTGTTTTGTTTTAAAATATTTTATTTAAGTTTAGGATATATAAAAGTTTTGTGCTAATTGTATTATTTCTCTTTGGTTTTTGTAATGGAAATGCAGTCCATTGTATAAGACTAGAGTTGTGCTTCGGCAACACTTCAGTGCTCAAGCAAAGCGTAGAGGGAGAAGGGCAGTTGAGGTTTGTGAAGTGTATACATTTAATGGTTGGGATGAGTTATTGGAGCGAGCCTTATGAATGTAATAGTAATGTTGCCATTGTCTTGTAGGTGTTAAAGAGACTAGCTCATAGGAAACTCATGTATCATTCTTACTCAATGCAAGTTCATGGCTATGTGTGCTCGTCAACAACTGATGATAGCAGTTCATTTACCCTAGTCCATGGGGTATGCTGCGTTCTATGCTAAACCATTTTAAAATGTTTGACTTCAAAATCTTAAGATTTTCTAAAATCTCTCTCTGGATTCAGTATCATGGGAGTCTCTCTTTGAGACATTGGCTTCAACAATCTGATTGGCTCTCCACGTTAGAAGCTACTCTTGCCTTGGATGAGGAATCTGTTAGAAGGGTGGGAGATGATACAGTTGGTGGCCCAGCAGTTTCCAGACAGCTGCGACTCATTCGAATTTTGATGAGAGATCTCTTGATTGGTGTATGTATATTCTGATGTATCAAGTCTACTTCTATATGCTTTCTTCCCTCCCCAAAAGAGAAGACAATTTTTTTCCCATATTTTTGCACTTTATGATCACTCTTTATTTGTTTCAGGTAAATTACTTGCACAGTCATGGATTTGCTCATACAGAATTGAGGCTTGAAAATTTGCATATTAGCCCAGTAGATAAGCACCTTAAAGTGAGTATCACTTCTTTCTTGATGTGCGGTCATAGAATTAAGAACCTGCCATGTACTCTTTTATGTTGCCGGATGATTTGACAAAATGAGATCATGCAAAGTAGCATACACATTCATCATTCTAGGATGGGTTCATAACCAAATCTTCAATCATAGGACACAAAAACATGGTTTAGATGTGCTGTGATGTAAATGGATTTAAAAGTGTGATGTCTGCCAATAGTATGGACCTCTGTGTCTTAAGAGTTCCTACTTTTTTTCCTGACCAGGTGGGTATATTGGGGAATGCCTCTGATTTTTATGAAAGTGGACTTGAGGATACCACATCATCATATGGTAATATGGATAGGCGAAAAATGATGATTGCATTTGATATGAGGTATGTTGTAAATTTGCAATACTGAAACATGTCTGATTTAAGTTAACTGGTTATCTATGAATTATTAACAATCATTCCCTGCTTCTATGTGCGCCAAGGTGTGTTGGGTTCATCATGGCAAAAATGGTACTAAGGGAGCTGATGGACCCGCTGAATTTTGCAAAGTTCAAAGCATTCCTTACCAAGGTAAACTTTGTTTGAGCTTTGTAAGTGCTGTAGAGTCTTGCCTTCAGCCATACATAACTTTTTTATGTGCATGTCCAGGCAAACAACCCATCCTGTCTGCGTGAGTTTATGCTACATGCTTTTAGCCGAGATTCGTCACCAGGAAACTTTGGTATACAGGTAGGAAGTTTTCTCTTAAATTGTTTTGGATGCATTAATTTCCCATATGTGTACTGATATTTTATTTTTCTTGTAGATACTTGACAGGAATTCGGGTGCTGGTTGGCATTTACTATCCTCACTCCTTGCAACAAATCCTATGGAAAGAATAAGGTATGTTAAATTTGCATGAATGAACTTATTTAAAAAATAGAGTTTTCTGTTTCATATAAAAGGCAACTCAAATCATGGAAATCATTTATTAATGTTACTGAAATTACTTTCGCAAGATACATGCAATAGTTCTCTCACTTCTCTGTATAAGTTTTATTTCATTATCACTGCCCTGTTAGATGTTATTCAAACCAGTGTGCTGAGCATAGATGAACTTTTGCTTTGCCTTCTAATTCTTTAATATAGATGTTGTTATAAATATAGTTAATTGAACTTCCCTTGATGTGCTTGCTCTAGATTCCTGTATCAATTCAAACCTTCTTAGCTGGACTGTTCCTCTCCCGTCCTCCACTGTAAAACAATTTTTACTAATGAAGAATTTTACTTATCTTTCTAGTTGCTTAAATGCTTTGAGGCATCCATTCTTATGTGGACCAAAATGGCGGGTATACCCATCTATCGAGTTGATTAGATGGAGTCTTGGTTCAACTGCTGTTCGAATCACAGAGGAATACATTTATGCTCACCAGCAGGTTGTTTATTTCTAGAGTGAGGCTTTTATATTCTCTTTTATCAGGAAATGATGCTGACCTTTTGTGTTCTTCTGATCCAGCGAAATAGGCTCGCACATTTTATTGAACTCATGGAGATCTTAAATCCTCATTCTAAACCTAAGGTATTTCAAAGTAATGAGCTAGCTTATCTGTGATAGTATGTTCCATGGCATTACTTATCCCATTTTATTGAATACATGTAACTTTTCCTTTGGTCTCTTGGGAGTTGAGATGCTAGACTGTAGTTTATCTCCATTTTATTTTTTTGAGATCAAGTGGTGCTAGAAATGAAATCGCAGTCTACTGACATGCAGCATTGGCTGGAAAAGCTTCCTGGGAAATGGCGTCTCTTATACTGCACAGGCAAACACATAGGGCTAACTCTCCGGCAGCCTTCATTTCGCGTGCTTATTGGTGACGGGCACCTTACCATATCCAAATCATCAAAACCCAAAACAACATTTTCAGTCTCCTCCCACATCGGTTTCAGAGTTGTGATTGGAAAGGACTGGCCTCACGACAAGTCTGGCGTCAATGGGGCATTGCAAACAGGCACTTCTTTCACACTGAGAGCCGGTAGGCGGCTGTATCTTACAGAGGAAACTACCACAACGAAGCTACCCTCATCATCAACACAGGATTCTCAGGCTGCTTCTGTACAGAAACGGCTATCCAGTAACCAGTGGAGAAAAGTCGTTCCTATAAAGGAATTCCCTTCGAGCCTCCCCGTAACCAAACTGATATCAGGCGATATTGAGGTGACAATGTCTCTGGACGAGCCGCTAGTCCGGAATGTAGAAATGGCACAGAGGGTAGTTCAAGAAGTTAGAGTGCAAGTCCCTCCTGAAATGTTTGATCCTTCACAACTTGTCTGTGGAACGTACGTAGATTCAAGGTTGCTCGTTCTTCGTAGTGTCAATGGTTCTGCTCTCCTTTTCACAAGATCTTGTACGCACGAAGAATTGTGAATATATTTGTTTTGTTAACTTGTAAACAAATTCGTTAATACTTAATAGATTAGCTTATTAGAGCATCCACATTAGTTGGGGAGAATGGGGATAATGTAAGAGTGATTAGAATAGAGAAAATGGGAGAAAGAAAAAAGGAAAAAGAAAAATTAAACAAAAATAATAGTATTTTCATTTACTGTCAGGCGCGCCCGCGTGTGTAGTGGGCACAGAGGTAACAGACACGCATGACTGTCACGCATGGTTAAAGCCTGCGTGTGTAGTGGGCACAGAGGTAACAGCCACGCATGACTGTCACGCATGGTTAAAGTTAATGGTGGCCCCACATTTCTGAAATCTCCCTACATTTGCAGAAGTATTCCATTTTTCTCTTTCTTGCTTCTCTCTCTTCCACATGGCATTTTAATCTGACATTATTCTCACATTATGCATTGGTGTGGTTGCTCTTAGCAAGATTGCAAGGATATTTGTGGTATCAATTTTAAGGACCGTTGGTTGGGGCCCACTTTTGTTATGTCCAATAGTTAGGCTATGGATCAGGGTTCACCTGGTCTAAAATGACACAATTTGCGTGTGCGAAAATAACGATGTTGTTAGTAGCATTGTTTTTGCAGTCGATAATTTTTTTTAACAACTCAGCGAGTGAATAATTAATTCTGTAATTATAAATATAGAGTTATGCAATTGTGAATATTGAGTTTTGCAATTTTGTATATTAATATTTAAAATTATGAATATTCAGTTTTAAAATTGAGAATATAGAGTTCAAAATTGTGATATAGAGTTATGCAATTGTGAGTATTGAGTTCTGTAATTTTGTATATTGATATCTAAAGTTGTTAATATAAAATTCGTAAATATAGAATTCAAAAATTAGGAATATAATCGGGTCCACCTTGCAAGGTCAACCTGGATCCACGGCCTAATTTGCGAGTCGTTATGCTGTGCAACCGTGTGCACCATGCATGGTGCACACAGTTACAAAAACAGCGTCGTTTTGACGTTTGAATTATATATATATATATATATATATATATATATATATATATATATATATCAGTTTCGGTTGCTGTTAATGGCGTTATGTTGTGCATAATTTGAATTATACACCCATAATTTCATAACTATACATTCAGAATTGCATAACTACACATCCATAACTTCATAACTATACATTCAGAATTGCATAACTACACATCCATTAACTTCATAACTATTTTGCATAACTACGTATCCATAACTTCATAACTATACATTCAGAATTGCATAACTACATATCCATAACTTCATAACTATACATCCAGAATTGCATAACTACACATCAATAACTTCATAACTATATACATTCAGAATGTGAAATTATAAAATTATGAACATATGTTTACGTAACTAATGTCAATCGAAAATAATTTTTTAAAAAAGTAAAACGACGCTGTTTTTGCAACCGTGTGCACCATACATGGTGCACACTGCATACGCACAACATAATTTGCCCTAATTTGCCTGTTATGTCTGTAATTAGGGCCATAGGGGAAGTGAAACGGTGTCGTATTATTGTAAGGAACATCTAGACGAACATCTAGAAGACAAAATCCCCTGCAAAATTAAGGTTTGTTGTCTAAGGAAGACGAAGGAGATCAAGAAGACATGGCGAAGCATCTGTGCCGTCTGTTTACGTCGATGATCGCGCAGCCTAAGCTCAGTTCAGGTATGTCCGAGTATTCAGCGAGTCGACTCATTTGCTCATCGGCTCAGAGATTTCAAGTCCACAAAGAGAATCCTCTGGAGCACGCGGCGCCAGTCTCAGAGGAGAAGGATAAGGTCCGCAGCGGAGACGAGACTATGTCCGATCCGGTATCTCAGAGTGAAGAAGAAGAACACGGCGATTTCGTGAACAAAGAAACCGGAGAAATCGGAGGCCCCAAAGGTCCGGAGCCAACTCGCTATGGAGATTGGGAGCAACGCGGCCGCTGCTCCGATTTCTGAAATAAGTTTCATAGCTTTCGCCTTTATGAATCTCCAATAAGAAAGGTTAGGTATTTTGAAAGAAAGGATAAGTTTGAAAACTCGGACACAAATCCTGCTTACTGAGTAAACAATGTTGTCTTACCGAGTCAATACTGTCTCCCATAATTTAATTTGCCAATTAATGCTATATAGAACTGTTAAAATGTCTATGATGTAAGCCCTCTTAAACAATTTCATTAGTTTGAAACTAGTCCTTTGTTTATTACTAATGATGTGTTCATTTTAGTCTAAACAATATATTTTGCTTATCATTAAGCTTAGCCTGGTGTTGACCTCAAGATAATGACTGCTTACTGTAAACTCGATGCAGACAATCATATGGTTTGAACTATGAAATGTTCAGCACAGCATTAGTCATGCCTTGTTGGGTGGAATATAGTTATGGTTTAGGTTTCAATTGTATAGCTGGAATCTGGATTTTGCAGGTCTTTCTGTCTAGCTACTGATGGATACACAGAGCACTGTGCAGATTGTCTTGTTTCTTGCCTTTGCTCGTTTCTTGGTCACGGGAGCTTGCTTTGATTCTACATGTGACCGTACTGGGCCTTTGATTCGGTTTCCTTTCTGGCTGCAGAATCTCCAGCCCGAGCAGTGTGGCTATCCGGGATTTCGTTTATCCTGTGATAGCTCAAACATGACAGTTCTTGAGCTGCCTAATTCAGCTCCCTTGACTGTCCAGGCTATAGACTATGCCACACAGGAGCTATGGCTTAATGATCCTAGTGACTGCCTCCCTTCCCGTCTTTTGACCTTGAATCTCTCTGGTTCTCCCTTTGCTGGTGTTTACTATCAAGATTTTACACTGTTTAATTGCTCGTTTGATTACAGAATGTATAGGTTAAATCCCATTGCTTGTCTCAGCGGTCAAAATTATACTGTGTTTGCTACGTCTTCTGTCAAGGCCTTGAGGTTCTTGACATCGCCTTCGTGTAGCTTGATAGCAACTATTGCTGTCCCGGTTCAGTGGTCGTTTTTTGAGCAGGTTTTATCTTCGGATCTCAGTGATAATATCCGGCTCAAATGGGGTTCTCCGAACTGTGGCAAGTGTGAATCGCAGGGTGGACGATGTAGGCTGGAGACCAACTCCAGTAATAAGATCGATTGCCAAATTTCTCCCAGACACAGTAATTTCCCTACCTTCTCACTGCCTTTTACCTTTCCTTTTAATTTTCTTTTTCCGCATTTTTCTTGATTCATTCACTTTGTAGCTTTTGATTGTGAGCAAAATTTCTAGTAGTTTAGGTGGTTGAACTGTTTCACGTGCTTATGTTTATTGCTATAACTAAACTGGACAAAACTCATAAACTGTGGATTGGATAAAACATTGAATGAGGATGGTGTTTCTCATTCCTAATGTGATTCTTGAACAGATCTGGAAATAATCTTTTGCGTTTCAAACTATGTGAAGTTTCACCATTGAATGTACATTTCAACTTTGCAGGACTTCCTAAAGGTGCGCGTTATGCCATAATGATCGGAGCTGGTATACCAGCGTTTTTATTCTTTAACGCGCTGGTATGTTTTCTTCTCCGTAGAATCAGAGTATGCTGGAGGAGAGGCCGCCCAGAGGTTGAATTTACCCTCTCTGTCGTGGCTCCACCACGCCCTGTCATGATAACAGGCCTCGATGAACCTACAATAGCGTCCTACCCGAGAACTGTTCTAGGCGAGAGCAGGCGCCTACCCAATCCCGAACATAATGTCTGCCCAATATGCCTGTCTGAGTATCAGCCCAAGGACACCCTGAGAACCATCCCTGCTTGCCAGCATTGCTTCCATGCTGATTGCATTGATGAGTGGCTTAGGCTCAATGCTGCTTGCCCTGTCTGCCGCAATTTTCCCAAGTCTTCTGCCCCTGTTCATGCTCTGTAGGCTCTGCAGTTTTGCTGCTTCATCTTTTCTGCTGTGTTTTGGTCCTTTTTTGAGTGATTATGGGAGTTTCCTAGTGTATGTATGTCATGAATCCATACAAGTTTTTGCTTTTTTATTATTCTGTACTCTCTCTGTCTCATTTTATCTGTTCTGTTTACTATTCACACGGAAAACTAACACTTTCTTTTTTTTTATTATTTTTAACAATTTTAAATTTATTTTTTGTGTAAGAGTATTTTTAAAGTTGTTTTTAAATATATAAATTTTATATATTAATGCTAATCATAATATTATTATGAAAAATTAAATTAAAAATAATTTCAGTCAAACTTGTTTTTTTTTTTTTTAAAATTAGTCAAATTTTATTAATTGAACTAGACACATAAAATAAGATAGAGAATATCTGTTTCGGTAGCTTTTTAAAAAAAAATCATTTTGCATATAGTTAATTATCAATTAATAATTAATTTATCAAACATCTTTCCACAATTAACTAATGATATCAATTAATTAAACTCATTAACCTAATCAGTTAATAATTATTATTATTTACTAAATACACCATGCTTTCTCATTAAAGTGGTATAGAACACCAAAATATGAGTTGGGTTAGCCTGTGACGCACTATAATAATAATCTGCCATACTATAGTGTTGGTTCATGAGATTTGGGTATTAGGAAACATTTAAAAAAAAAAAAATATCATATATTCACATGTTTGTTGGGAAAGCTAAGTCATCCATATTTTATGAGCAAACTGATTTAGGGTGTATTTGGTTCGCACATAGGAATCGGAATCAGAATTAGAATAGGTATTAAATACTTGGTAATAGGTATTAAATACTTGGTGAAAGTATTTAACATGTTTGGTAATAAGGTAGAATGGGAATTGTTACTAATAGTAGTGCTTGAGAGTGAATAAGGGAATGAAACCCTTATTGTATTTGGGTATGAGTTTTTCAATTGATGGGGTATTCGAAACTCAGAGTAGTGTTCTAAAAACCTATCAACCAAACAACAGCAATCACTTTCATACCCATTCCTATGGGCAAAGGATCGTTATGATGTGCATCCGTGTGCACCATGCATGTTGCATACGGATCAAAAACGACGTCGTTTTGACTAAAACGCGCGTCCCACTTAAAAAAAAATTCCGTTTTGATTCCCCTCAACAACATTATGTTGTTCATTCATTCTGAATTTTTAGTTCATAGATTCTGGATTTTTAGTTCATTGATTTTAGATTTTTAGTTCATTGATTCTAGATTTTTAGTTCGTTCATTGATTCTGAATTTTTAATTCATTAATTCTGGATTTTTAGTTCATTGATTTTGGATATTTAGACGTAAATCGAAACTGATTTTTTTTTTCATTCATGCTGGATATTTAGTTCATTCATTCTATATTTTTAATTCATAGATTCTGGATTTTTAGTTCATTGATTCTGGATATATAGTTCAAATTATACACAACATAATTCTGTTATTGGAAATCGAAACTGATTATTTTTTTTTTTAAAGTAAGACGCGCGTTTTTAATAAAACGACGTTTTTGCATCCGTATGCACCATACATGGTACATACGAATGCACAACATAATTTGCCATGGGCAAAACCCACCGACCAAACACACCCTTAGTTTGGTTCGGTTGTTTATTATTTTACTGTTATTCTGTACGAAGTCCACAAACCAGCAGATGGGTGGGCTAACTGCATAAAAAATAACATTGTAAATATATATATTAAAAAAATTAAATACATACAAATAATATTGCATGTATATAAAAATCACACTAATAATAATAATTCTTTTAAATAATATTGACTCTGTTATAATGTAATATCTATTCATATATCTCATTTGGATGAGCCACTCCGAACCACTAGACCATAAGGTCATTGACAACAATAATGAATTATTTACTTATAATAGTGAATTTATGTACTTATAGTAGTGAATTATATATTTACGATTATGATTTTTATAAACCAAATTTATGTACCTAAAATAAAGATTTTATGCACTTATAGATTTATTTTACAAATTTAATATGAGTGTCATTTAAAATATTATTAATTTTTTTGTTATGATATAATTTTTATATATTAATAATTGTAATTTATGCCCTTCACAAATATGTTAATTATCAATGTCACTACTGAATTATTAGTGGTGTAAATGTTGCCCTCAATTTTCAAAACGTAACATATATTGCCCTTCCCCTATCAGGAAGAAGAAGAAACATTGTTGTCGTCGTAAGGAGAACAAATGAAGAAAGAAAAATGGAGAGAAAAAACATGGTTTTCAAATAGAGAAAACAATAGGTAATCACATTTACACCACTAATAATTTAGAAGGGGGGCAATATATGTCTCGTTTTGAAATTTGAGAGACAATATTTACATTACTAATAATTTAGGGGTAACATTAATAATTGACATAAATTAAGTAGGTAAAAATTTTGGACCAAAACCTACCTTGTAAGTAGCTGTGGTCCAAGATATAACTACTCCCACAAACCATCAATCGTTATATCGTACACCACGGCGCACATAGCACTGTGCGCCGCGCGCCTCCCAAAACGACGTCGTTTTGGGGTCGTGTTGGGAGGCGCGGTAGGAAGTTGCTGGGATTATGTGTATTTGTTCACAACATTATGTGTATTTGTTCACAACGTTATGTGTATTTGTTCACAACGTTATGTGTATTGGTTCATACAGTTATGTGTATTTTTTATACAATTATGTACATTCTTTTTATACAATTATGTACATCCGAATTAGAAAATTTGTGTGTATTATGTTAAGAGTTGATGTGTATTATGTTAAAAGTTTATGTTTATTAAGTATTATGTTAGATTATGTGTATTATCTTTTAAAAAGAGTATGTATATTTTGTTATATAATTATGTACATTCATGTATACAATTATGTGTATTCAAGTATAACATTATGTACATTCTTGAACAGCGAATTTTTTTTAAAGCAAAAACTACTGCCATTCACTGGGGTGGGAAATTTCAAAAAATAAAATAAAATTAAAACGACGTCGTTTTGCATCTGGGCGCATAGTGCAACACGCACCGTGGTGTAGGATATAAATTGCCACAAACCATAGTACGTTACTTATTTAGTTATTTATTCTTCCAAAAGGTTGAACCCCAACCCTAAGGGACCCCCACACCCCTTATTTAGTTATTCATGCATTTTTTAATGATGGAATATGTAAAATAAGTTAAGCTAATTACACAATTTATTGAATTGGTTACTTGGCATAATCTTCTTCTCCTAAATACTATCTACTAATTCATTGAGTTAAATATGTGCGGGCTTATTACTCAGCATAATCGTTCTATAACACGGGGTGCTAATAATCTCTAGCATTTTTTAGTCCAATATCCAAACTGATCTGAAGAATAATCTTGAAAGCAAAACCTTAGTCCTAAAAGAGATAAAATAGTACCACGTTAATGGTACTTAATTAAAGGAGTTGTTAAGAATTGAAGTGACAAAAAAAAAAAAAAAAAAAAAAAAACTTGTATTTAAAGAACAATTAAAGGAGCCAAAGACACCAGGACTAGGCCCTGTTTGGTAAAAGTTTGTCTTATAGGTCAATTTTGACTTATTTGACCACTATTAATTGTTTGCTTTAGTTAAAATATCAATATAAATGTTTGGTTAATTAGCTTTTTGCAATTTCAAAAGACTAAAATTCAAAAAGCTACTCCAAGCAACTTTTTCAATTAGCTTTTTGAGAAAAAAATTTATATCAAACAACTATCAGCTAACAGCTAATTTACCAAACACTTTTCTATAATCAGCTAATGTTATCAACTATTTATACTCTCTGATTAATACAATCAGCTAACAATCATTTTACCAAACAGGGCCTATATGGTCTAATGGTATCCGGGTTGAATTTCCATTTGGAATGTTGTGAGTTTAAGCTTCAATGGAGGCGTTATTGGTTCTTTATATTTCAGTAGGTTGAAAAGGTATATGAACAGATACTACAATGTAATAAAGCCAGTAACAAGTAAAATTTGTCGTAAATTGATTTTAGATTTTATTATTTGTTTATTTAAAAATATTAATTAAAATACAACACTTATTAATTTATAATAAAAAATTACATTTGATATTCGCATGGCGTTAAACAATATTATATACGTTTTATGTGTTTTTTTTTTTGGTTAAACATAAATACCTTCTTTTAATTTTTAATTTTTAAAAAATTGGTACACGTTTTTCGTGTAGATGCTGTCACTTTCAAAAAAAAAAAATTAAATTTTTTAATGCATTTTACGCACATGGGAATTATTTTATAATTTCGATCCCGTTGAGAGTGGATAGCATGCAAGATTCTATCATTACTGCAACACTACTTTTTACCTCCAGCCTGTGCGCACTGAAATTTGACATTGTCTGTTTAGCCATTGAATCATTGTGGTGTATATTAGTACAAATGTTCTGTTAAGTGCCCGACAGACTTAACTTAATGGCATTAAAAATAGTTCTGCACGGACTTAGCTCAATAGACAATGTGGAAATTATATTTAAAGTAAGCAAATTCTTTGTACTCGGTCTTGTCTGATGAGTCATTGAGTCACCATGATTTACATCCTCAATGCTTTGTTAGTAGGGTGTGAGGGACCTTTGGGGTTGGAGATTCAACGGTTTTTTTTAGAAGAAGAAAAAGGAGATGGAGGGGTGGGTGGTGTGGTGGGGATGGGGTGCCATGTGGCCCTTCCTTCTTCCTCTCCAATCTTCTTTATATATGCAATGAATGGTTTTCAAGTTTTCAGTCACTGCATTTACACTCAGTTTGGTTGAACTGGTATATATACAATTATACAAAGCCTTCAGCTTGTTCAATTCTCAGTCATTTTCTTCCACTTTCCATTGATTTTGCAGTATTCAAGCTGTATATAAGCTAGCAATTTATATTAGGATTAGGAACAAATTATCTCTGCAATTTTAGGATTTATATACCTTGGGTTCTTGGCTATTTAATCTGCTACATTTGTGTTTTCTTAGACCTTAGCTTGTTGTCTGTGATGATTCTGTGACTGTTAATTACAGTGAACTTAGGTTGCTGGAGAAAGGTGAAAAATGGAGGGGAAGTACGGCCGTACTAACGGCGGCATACACCCCGTGGGGGTTCTCCCTTCTTGCTGCTTGAAAGCCAGTGTGTTTGATCCAGAGCTTGAGGGAAAATGCCATTCAACAGTTGTCTCTGGATGGTTCTCTCATCCCTGTAATATATATACATACTTATAGCGAGACTACACATTTATATTTTATATATTATATGCTTAACCGCGGGGATATGATGGATGACGTTTTTCTGTTCATTTTCCTTTTTATTGCAGCTGAAAATGGCAAGGCATTGTATTTCAACAATCCTATGTGGCCAGGTTAGTTTCTCCCTTCCTTCATTCTCCAATTACTATCTTCACAGGCCGTAAACTCAGGCCTGTTGAGCATATGCAATCCAACTATCAGATTAAGCTTTTAGTTGAGATGGAGCCAAAGATTATGGATTGCACATTAATGGTTATATGCTCAACAGAGCCAATACATAAGTCAAATCAGATGTAGTTAGGACGTGGGTTCATATTATTTATGTAGCTTAGTGCTAATTGGTGGCTTAATCTTGCTTGTAGGAGAAGCACATTCTCTCAAAGTAGAGAAGATTCTATTCAAAGAACAGTCTGAATACCAGGAAGTAATGGTGTTTGAGGTCAATCATCTTGACTATAAGCTATTTTCTGATGATTATACCAGAAAAGTCTGAATTTTTTACAGTTTATCTTTATTTACTGTTGCAGTCTGCATCCTATGGGAAAGTTCTTGTGTTGGATGGCATTGTTCAGTTGACTGAGAAAGATGAATGTGCTTATCAGGAGATGATAGTGCACCTCCCCCTCTGCTCAATCAAATCTCCCAGAAAAGTACCATTTTCCGTCTACTTTTTATGTAAAAAGAAAAAGGCGAGGTTTATTCAGTGCACACCCTCGGTTAGTGGTTGCTGGTTTCCCTCATCACCCGAAAGAAAATGGTAAATTGTGGTTGCTGATAACTGCAGGTTCTGGTTTGTGGTGGCGGCGATGGAGGAGTTCTTAGGGAGATCTCTCGCCATAGCTCCGTCGAAGTTATTGACATTTGTGAGATAGACAAAATGGTTATAGATGTAAGCAAAGCTAGTGGGGAAAGATAGCTTCCTTCTTTTGTTCTGCAGAAATGTAAGTAATTTCAGCATGGTTTTTGCAGGTTAGCAAGAAATTCTTCCCAGAGTTGGCTATTGGGTTTGAGGATCCCAGAGTCAGGCTCCACATTGGTGATGGTATAATGTGTTGTCTTTCTTTAATTTATGTTATTGTTATTGTTTCTTGTTCTCGTTAATCTCAAAAAAAATGACACCATTCATGGTGAATATCGAAATCTGTGTATATATATAGTTCAGAGATATAAACTTTCACATCCTCTCATGTTTTGCAGCTGTGGAGTTTCTGAGGAATGCTCCTAGAGGGAAGTATGATGCCATTATAGTTGATTCATCAGATCCCATTGGTCTGTCCCTCTCATTCCTTACAAGTTTTTTTTTTGCCACTGTTGCGAGTTATACAGTTAAATGTGTAGTCACACTATTTATTTAACTTTTTAGTTTAGACGAAACGTATTTATTGTTACAGTGCTCCATGTGCAGCCCGAATAGTGTTGGTTATATATATTTTTGTCTGTATAGGTTATTTTACTTGTAATTAATTAAGAATAAATAATTAATTAACCAAACACTTTTCTATAATTAGTTAGGATTATAGCTAGTTCCTGTTTGGTAACATAGTTACCTATTAGTCGATTTTGACTTGTTTGACCATTATTAGCACCAATATGAGTGTTTGATTAATTAACTTTTTGTAACAGCTTATTGCTCAAAAAGGTTAAAATTCAAAAAACTTCTCAAAGCAACTTTTTCGATCAGTTTTTTGAGAAAGTCATTTTGCATGCAATCAGTTATCAACTAACAGTTAATTTACCAACCATCTTTCTACAATCAGCTAATGCTATCAACTAGTCAAACTTACAAACTCAATCAGCTAACAACTATTTACCAAACACCCCCTATGTGTGTTATGGAACACAGGTCCTGCTAAAGAACTGGTGGAGAGGCCATTTTTTGAGACAGTGGCTGGAGCATTAAGGCCCGGAGGAGTTCTCTGCAACATGGCAGAAAGTATGTGGCTTCACACACACCTTATTCAGGACATGATCTCTCTTTGCTGTGAAGCCTTCAAGGGTTCAGTTCAATATGCCTGGACCAGTGTCCCAACATATCCCAGGTAAATCCCGCCATCTCATCTTACGCTACACTAATCCTAAACCCCCCAGAACCCCTACTCAAGAGTCGCTGCAGATGCCTGTTTTTATGTTTTTCTGTTGTGTGTCTGCCTGCAGTGGCGCGATTGGGTTTCTGCTGTGCTCGACTGAGGGGCCGCCTGTCGATTTCCTGCACCCGATCAATCCCATAGAGAAGCAAGATGATGGAACACTCCAAACTCACAGAAAGCTTCGATTTTACAACTCTGATGTATGTTCTTTCCCAGGTTCTTGGCTTTGTTCTTGCTCATAAATGTCAGTAAACACAGATTGTATCTTTTGTTGCTTGACAGGTCCACAAGGCTGCATTTGCACTGCCATCTTTTGTTAGGAGAGAACTCGGTCACCATGCCTTATCTGCAACTGGAGTTCATTAGATGTTTTGTTAGCATTCATTCAAATCATACTTGTATTTCATAAAGAATTGGGTGGATGCAGTCAAGGCACAGTATATATTGTGTGTTTGATTCTAGCAGATAAGCATGTATGCAGTGTGAAATCAGTGTAATTGGCAATAATTATGTTTTGCAGACCATACATTAACCCTGTAATTTGCAGGAGCTAAGAGTATCATATCATGCTGCATTTTTTTTAGTATTTTACTATTTTAGCATTATATGAAAATTTGTACCACATTATATCCATTTGGCCTGCTGAGTCATTGAATCATCGTGATTTATATCCATTTGGCCTTTCTCAAATCAATAAAGCTAAGATGGTTATTCATCAAGTGGATCCTTTGCCTCTTACCTCAGTAGCTGTGCCCGGAAATTGCAACCATTACAAAATAAATATAATTTGTCTAAATATTAAAATGAAAACTTTGAGTATGCGGACACGTGTCTTTTACAGTAGATATAATTTTGGCTTGATGTGTAATGACTATTATCAACAGTATTTTTTTTTTTGAGTTAATACCACAAATAGTCTTCTGACTACTGGGGTCGTACTCTTTTTAGTTATCGACTTTCAATTTGATCAAAACATATACCTCGACTTCCATTTTTAACCACAAATAATCATATGTCAGTTTTTCTATTAAATGAGTGCTAAATTTAAGGATATTATTATCAAATCAAAGAAAAAAATAAAATAGTTAATAACAAGTCCATTTGAGAGATCATACTTGAACAAATTGAAATTTAGATCTTATATTTCAACATAACAATCAATTGAGAGAACAGAAAATTAATAAAAATTTTAACTACTATGGACTTACTATAAATTTAATACAAAGAATGATATAATACAGAATAATAACTTCTATGTCAATCGTAACAAATTAAAACTAGGACTGGCCCTGGGGCAATGACAGGCTGGATCCTTGTCCAGAGCTCATGCTTGGAGGGGACCTATCTTATCCCTTATATATGTAGTATATATAGTATATATAGGATAAGAAAATAATATACGTGCATCAAAACAATAGGTGAATTAGGTTGTTTGGTAAAATACTTAGGGGTCGTTTGGTTCACGGAATGTCAGATTACCTTAGGTAATGTTAGATTGCTGGGAATGTTAGATTACTGGGAATGTTAGATTCCTGTGTTTGGTTAAAATTGGGGTATGTAATATAATCTTGTTTGGTTTAGGATTATCTTGTATACACACTATAATATCCTTAACATATTTTCATATATTTTAATAAATTTTAAAATTAAAATAAATAAATAAGATAACGGTATCATATATAATTACATGATTTTAAAATATTAACTAAAATCTTGAACTTGAGAAACAAAATTATTTTATATGCTAATATAACATATATATATATATATATATATATATATATATATATATATATATATATATATATATATATATAAAATAAACTAACATAACTAAGGTTATCTTACATTACCTAAGATTTTGAAGGGAATCACATTCCCTTCAAAATCCTATGTGGAGGGAATGTGACATTCCTTGGGAATGTCAGATTCCCTAAGATAATATGAACCAAACACTGGTATGTGAGCTTTGGAATGTCACATTCCCTTGGTTATGTTATATAACCTGAACCAAACGCCCCCTTAATGTTAATAACTTTCTTTGTTGAAGTTCAAGCGATCAAACCCTACCTTTTACATTTTAGAAAAAAAAAATCATGAAATTCCTCAACTCTACTTTTTTTTGCTGATTTTCTAGTGTATTTTTTTTTAATTATTGAAACTCATCGCCTCTTACTTTTTTTTTTTGTTTATTTTCTAATGTATTTTTAATTATTTTTTTTTGTTTAATAATATTTTTAATGTAGTTTATAATATATATATATATATATATATATATATATATATATATATATATATATTATATACTTATACAGTTATACTAAACATATTATAATAAATTAAATTAAAAATAATTTCAATCAAGTCACGTTAACCAAACAAGACACATAAAATATGATGGAGGGGAATATGATTTATTTTGAGATTCAATTATGAAAAAAAAATTAAAAGATAATTTACTCCATACTTCTTTATGAATATCTAATCAATGTAATATAGAAGCTTTTATTATGTGTCATCGTATTCAAATTACTCTTAAAAAGTTTGAAATTTATCAAGCTAAAAGAAAATGTATTTATAACAATCATATAAATATAGAAGATGTGTAATTTATAATCCGTTTTCTATTCGAACTATTTTATCTAAGTAATTATGTTTTTTTTTTATGAATATTTTTATCGCATTTTGAAATATTTAAATTTATTGCTCCTAGTCAAAAAGATTTTTATCTTCACATATGTTTGTAAGTGTTGTTTTATAAATTTTTAATAATAATTAATTTATTATTTATTTATGAAGACACTTATACAATTATTTATTATTTTGCATTTATGAAATCACCTAGAATTTTTTCATAATTATTATTTTGTATGTAAAATAATTAAAAACTTATTAATCTTATTCAAAGTTATTGATAGTAGTAATTTTTTCCTTATTTAATTTAAATTTGAGGTATAAAATATATAACATATATATTTAATAATAATACCTTCAAATTTAACACTCACTTAACAAGAAAAATTAATGGAGGATTATTTGTGGTTAAAAATAAAAGTCCAAGAATGTATTTTGATCGAATTGAAAGTCGATAACTAAAAAGAGTACTATCTCAATAGTCAGAGGACCATTTGTGGTATTAACTTTTTTTTTTTTGAGTTAATTCCAGCAATGGTCCTCCGACTATATTGATTTTCCAAAATTAGTCCTTGACTTTTAATTTGGACACTTTAGGTCCCTTGACTTTTAATTTCTTTCCAATTGAGGTCCTTTCGTCAGAATATGGTTAATTGAATTTTAAATGAAGGGGTAAACTCGTCATTTCACATGCCTATGTATTATTCTTAGTATTTCTCCATTGTATACGCGATATATATGAAGATAATCTTAGTCGAAACTCTAAAATGTTCCTCGTCGTTCCCCATTTGCTGACTACTTGCGTGTGCGTTCCTTTATTATTGAGATGCTTACAAGGTATAACAGCGAAATACGAAGGGAGAAATACGAAGAATAATACATAGGCAGGTGAAAGGACGAGTTTACCCCTTCATTTAAAGTCTAATAAACCGTATTCTAACGAAAGGACCTCAATTGGAAAGAAATTGAAAGTCAAGGGACTTAAAGTGTCCAAATTAAAAATCGATGACTAATTTTGAAAAATCACTATAGTCGGAGGACCATTGTTGGAATTAACTCTTTTTTTTTTCATAGTTGAAGAAGTGCGTGCAATGAAAATGGAGATGGAAATGTGTTTAAATGGTCAAGGATTCTGATCCGAAAAGGATTGGAATCCATAAAGAATAGAATCTGGCACACGCCCACCACACTCCACCCCCGCCACCCGTCACAGAATCTTCACATATCGGCGGCGCCGCCCCAGAAATCCGCCGTACCATGGCTGGTTTCTTGAATTTTACATCATTCTATCTACATGGGAAGTGCAGTGATAATCCCAACAATTTTCATTTCAAAATTCCCAGAAGCAAGATGAAGATGGTGGTATTCAAAATTACCATGCCTGCGGGTTTCTTGAAATTCCCAAACTTTTCCATTTCAAATCAGGATGAAGCTGAAAATTGGTGGTATTCAAGGCAGGATTCTGTTTATCCTGTTATGACTGGTTCAGAAGATAGTCCAAGTTCTTGTGATTCAGAGAATTCTCCATTGAAATCTGGCATCATCTTTCTCACGAATACTGAGAACAGAATGAAGGAAGATGACCCCATTGACAAGCTGAAAGCTCTGCATTTACATTTGGTGGCAGTGGAGCAAAGGAATGCATCAGTACTTAGATTGTGTCACAGGTAGAATTTCATTTTTTTCCTTTTTATACATCAGATATCCTAGCTTACGCTAGACTAATGACTCTGATGTAATCAATGTTGTAGAAGACACTACTCATGTGCCCGCGGGACGCCTAGTGCCTGGAGCGCCTAGACGGCCTAGTAATCTGAGTATATGGTTTCCACTTTTCCCATTGTTAAACTATTATAATCTCCCAAACTAATCAATTGCATATGTTAGATGATTAGTTGAGTACCTGGAAAAATATAGAAGAGTAGGAGTAGACAAAAAAACCTAGTCGACCGATTAGTCGATCAGCCGACTAAAAGCCACCTAGTGCTGAAATGGCCTCGGCCTAGGGGCCCTTAGTGCCTAGACCTATTTTTACAACACTGGATACTTATGTAAGCCCTTTGAAATTTGAATCTAACATTTTGCAAGATATTTACTAACCTATGATAGTATAATTCCTCACATGAACAGAAATTACTTGGCGAGTGCAGTGAACCTAGTACATTATTTGGCTTTAAAAGGCCTAGACATAGACAGGATTAATGAACAACTCTCGCCTTCCGGTCTTGTGAACTTAGACAATGCAGCTCCACATGTACTAGCAAGTCTGCTTGCAGGGATACATATGCTGGAGAAGTTGAAATCTGGTTTGTGTAGTGGTAAAAGTTGCGGTGATGGAGAAGTCGTCTGTGTTAGTGACATGGAAATGTGATGTGTCCTGCCCGGGTTTGGCTAACTGCCCCTGGAACAGCTCCCCCGTCGCCCACTCAAGCCTCACCTGATGAAGTTTTGTATGTGGATGGCCAAGAATTTCTCAGTAAATTGAAGGTGAATGATGAAGTCAATTTATGCGATGCTCGTGAGACCTTGCTGTCGAGTGCGGTTGGGAGAAGTTAGCGGACATTCAAGACGAGATTATTTGTGTCTGCAGAGCTGCACACATTCCAGTTATCTGGGCAACACAGGTCTTAGAATCTGTCATTATATCCGGGGTGCCAACCAGATCTGAGCTTACTGATGTTGGAATTGCCAAAAGGTTTCTGCTTCTGCTCTCTCTGTCTCTTTCCTTAGAGCAACATTATAACTTGGAGATATTAGGGGGAGAATGTAAGAGTAATTTGGAAAGAGAAATGGGAGGGGAGAGAAAAAAGGAAAAAAAAAATTGAATTTAAATAAAAAAAGAGTTAATTATCAAAATGATCCCTTGACTATAGCGAAATTACCAATTTGGTCTTTGACTATTTTTTTGACCAATTAAGTCCTTCAATTTTAAAAATCT